ATGGCTGACAGCCCGGCGACGTTAAAGATGCTGCAACGTTTTTTCGAGGGCATCCATTACTTGATAATCGACGAGAAAAACATGCTCGGGCTTCAAACTTTCGGTTGGATAAACAGGCGTCTCGGGGAGATCTTTCCGCACCGCCGCGACGAATATTTCGGAGGGTTAAACGTTATTATCATCGGCGACTTCTTTCAACTGCCTCCAGTTTTGCAAAAACCGCTGTTCGCGGTAGGCGGCACCTTAAAAAAAGATGAGATAGTCGGGAGAAACGCTTACCAGTCATTTACGCATTTCGTTTTCTTAGATACCATATTACGCCAGCAAGGTGAAAAGCAAGCCGCTTTCAGACAAGCGCTCCAGGAGCTACGTGTGGCTAAGACGACGACTGCGTCGTGGGAGCTGCTAGCTTCCCGGTGCGCGGTGAAGCTCCCTCCGGAAGAGGTTGAGCGATTTGCTAAAGCGCCGAGGATATACCCTTTAAAAAAGCAGGTTAACGCTTATAATCAAAAGCGCATGATGGATCTGGCCGCTGCCGTAATCCACGTCGAGGCGACGAATGACGGTCCCAAAGCCGCGCAGGTAGATTCCCAAGCTGCCGGAAACCTATCGAAATCCTTCCCCATCTGTATCGGATGCAGGGTCATGATAACCCGGAATATTTGGAGCTGGGCGGGCTTGGTTAACGGTGCTCAAAGCCACGTTTATGATATATCGTGGGCCGAAAGAGCAGACGTGAGCCGGGACCCCCCGGAGGCTATAATGGTGGTTTTTGATAAATATAAAGGCCCGCCTTTCACCCTTCCCGATGGTAGCGAGCTCCGTAACGACCACGGCAACCCTGTTATTCCTATCGAACGTGTGCGCCAGGAGTTTACCATCCGCGGGGCAAGCTGTTCCAGGCTTCAGTTCCCTCTAATGATTTCTTATGCTGTTACTGTTCATAAGTCGCAAGGTCTTACTTTGGAAAAGGTCGTCTGCAATATCTCTAAACCCGAATTCGCTTCGGGTTTATCGTATGTTGCGGTATTGCGGGTCTCTAATTTGTTTGGCTTGATGTTCGACTGCCCGTTTAGCCGTAACCGTATATACCACGAAGTTCCACTACATTCGATGCAAATGAGGCTTGATGACGATGAAAGAAGACGGCAGCAACGGTTGGAAGAGCCTTTGTACGTGCTTGAGTTGTAATTAGATATTGTTTGAGATAATTGTTGCTTAAGTAATTGAGATGTTTATCTTTGCAGACGGAATTACTAATAATCCGTTGTGGGGTCTTACCTATTAAGTCATCATAGAAGCTTTATTGCCTGTCGTTCTTTCATTCTATCCTCATCTTTAACTTAATTATTTCGTCTGCAAAGCTATGTCTCAAGTTAAATCTCCGTTGCCTCCTCCTGTACCTGCAACGATTCAGGGGATAGTAGAAGGCAGAGTTACGATCCAACACCCTGGGTATAATATCGCGTACCCGCCCCTGCTACGCTTCCTTACGTTTCGTAACGAAGGTGTTGATTACGACTTGGTTTATTATACTGCCTGTATTATAGCAGGCAACGTATGGTCCGATGATCCTGCTCCCTATTTAACTAGGGAAAGAGGTCGTAACTCGGCACGCGTTGTCCGTCCGGATGACGGTATTCTTCGCGATAATAAATACTACTTTCACGTACCTAAATGCGAAACGCGTAGGCCTTTACTGTTAACATTTACAAGTCTTTATTAATTAGATATTAGATAAATATCCTGTCACGCTTTCTTTTAGTGATTGGGTATTTCCCCACGATGATGTCCCTCAGATATGGCGCGACTTAGTTGTCAACCAATCTCCTCTAGAGACACGACAACGACTCCCATCGATACTTCGCGAAGCCATTATTACCCGCGACGGTTCTTGCCGGATGACCCAGTCTGTTACTGCTCTCGAGGAAGCCCACATCATACCTCTTGCGGAAGCCGACTGGTTTACGAAGAACAAGATGGATCAATACAATATAAGTCCTTCGAGTAGGTTGATGATTAATGACGTTGGTAATCTTTTCGCGTTGCGCGGGGATATCAATTGGCAGTTTGATCAGAAACACTTTACCGCGATACCCAAGATTGTTGGCGATGAATATAAGTTGGTAGGTCAGATGCTTCAAGGGAATGAGGTATATCTGCGCGAGCAAGAATACCTATTTCACAATCGGCCATTCCAACAGTTAAGTGATATCCCTAGAGAGTACCTATTTGCTCGTTTCGCTTGGTCGATCTTTAACAGTACTACCTTATCCTTCCTTCCCACGAGCAGACGTCCTCTGGCTGTTAGATTCCGCCTGGAGGCGGAATCCGAGGAGGAATCTGAAGAGGAAGAAATTGAACACCCTCCCGTTAAGCTTCTTGTTGAGAGGATATCGTCTATGGCTGCCCTTCCTAATTTACGCCAAGGGTTGCCTGCTGATTCGGGACACAAGCGTACTCGTGATGAACCAGCACAGGAGGGGCAGCATAACGATGATGTAGATCTGTTTTGGTCTATTGAAGAGGGGAAGCTGGTTCACGTTAATCAGATTGATTACCCGTTCGGTGAGCCTGGTTATGACAGACCTATAATGTGTGATTCTGAATCTGAGGCCTGTTAAATGTGAACGGGTAGAACAATCCCCGTCACTGTGCCCATCTACTGCTCCGCTATCTCAATCTGTCGCTATACCTAAGTAATTAAAAACTTAAGTTGCATTTAATCAATTTAACAGTGGAATATTGAAAAGTTGTGGGAGTGTCATGGTCACTACGCGCATCACAAAATTGTCCAACAAAAGACGTAAAACGTAAAAAGCATATGTTTATAATAAAGCTTATGTGATAGGAATTGATCCGTTAATTGTTAAAGCTTCATGTTCAAAAGTACAGTTAGCCCCATTGTACCAATACTTTCTTTCGGCCTTTATTTCCCTTTTTACCTTTCCCAAAACCATCCACTCCGTCTTCACCAGTATTGCCGTCGGGTTGTGTAGATGTATCCCCACCTGATGCCCCCCATGAGAAACCAGTATTCCTTGAGCCACCAGCATCTCTACGTACACTTCCAGTCCCGTAACCGAATATTGTCGTTGTAGGCTTAGGCGCCGTGGGAAGGGCTGGAAATGCTTCTTCTCGACTAGCATTCTTCGACGCTCTAGTTGGAGCTTGGGATGCTGTGCTAGAGCTCCAAAGGGCTGTGGCTGCCGGTCGCGATGCATTTCCCGTGCTGGCGCTGCTGGATGGTAAGGCGGGGAAAGAAGCTGCGGGGGGCATCGGTGGCGGGCGTCGCGAAGAGCTTGAGCTAGAGAATAAAGTAGAGGACTGCTCTACGCTCGACCGCCGCGATTGTTGGGTAGAGCTTTTGAGCTTGAGAACTCGAGTTGTGTGCCTTTGGGATGGCGCCACGGCGGCTGTAAGAGGAGAACTGGCTGCCGCCGCCGCCCAGCCAGTGTTAGAAGATGTTGCGCCATGCATACCGCTCAGGCCTGGCAGAGTTGGGTAGTCTTCATTTATTGCCCTCCAATCGCTCCAGGCTTTCCGCAAGCCATCTCCCTTGCTCGAGTCTTCAAAAAGATCCGCGACCTCACGAACAAGCGTACCCAAAGTAGTGGACGAAGTATCTGAAAATAAAGAAAATAGTGCATCTACGAGCGCTGCAGCTGACAGCTTGCCCTGCCTGTAAGAAGATATTTGACTGCGAAATGTGGCAATCTTATCCCGGTCATTCTGTAATAGGTTCGATGCCCGTTCGATGACTGCGGAATGCCGCAGAAGCCGAACGCGATCTTCCGGTGGCAGGTTCGGGTCCGTCAAGTTTAGTCCTTCCATCTCAATAGATGGTGCTGTGGTGGTGGTTGGGGCAGAAGGACCAGAGGCACCTGCTGGACGCTGACTTGTTTGGGCAGCGGGGATAGCACTGTTTGAAGAGGGTGCTGTTGATAGTTGCCCACCAAATGTCCGGTTAGAGACGGACTGTGACGAATGTATAGCCATCTGCCTCTGGAAAGCAAGCTCATCTCGTCGAAGAGGCTGTGCCGAGCTGACCGGAAGAGGATCTGCGTTCGGATCGCGACCTCTTCCGCGCCTCTCTCTGTCTCTATCCCCATCTCTATCCCGCCCGGAACCACTGCCGCCCCGTCTTTGCTGGTAAGGCTGTCGGTAATCAAAGCTCGAAAGGTCGACAAGACGGGCATCCCTTCTCACATCTTTAGATAAGGAGTTACCGTGTTCACTAAGCTGATGCGCCTTCAGATCTATCTCGGAGTGGAAGACAACAAACTTCTTCTCAAGACACTCGTGATCAAGGCATAAGAAATGATCCTTCTTGAAGTGCTCTTCCAGCGCATTATAATCTCGATAGTAATGAGGCTGCCTAGGATCCTGGCTGTCGCAAAGGAAGCAGCGCTCATGTTTGCTCCGGCAGTGCTCGTAAAGCTTGTCATCGTCGTAGAACCTTTGGCCACAGAATGCACATAGTGGGTGACCCTTAAATCCTGTCTGGTCCACAGCGCCGGGGCGGTCGTCACCATGTCGCATGTGCTTCTCCAACTCCTTGTCGGTAAACAGCTCGTGTTCATGGGTAAATACTTTCTTGTTTCTTGTACACAAGTCGCACATCTTCTTGTGGTGAGTGGTACGGACGTGTCGATGCAGGTCTGGCCAACCGAGGCCGGCAAAGTCGCAAGAGTCATCCGGACAATTATAACGCAAAAGCAAGACGGTGTCTCCGACTATATCTTCGTTCGTGTATCGAATACCGATATTATCGTCCGTACTAGTAACGTCGGTGTCAGAGTAGTCTTGGTATCGTTTAGTCGCATCGTCCGTGAAAAGAACAAACGGAGCAGGTGTCTACCAATGCGACGAGATATGTTAGCCTTCAATACTCTACGCAATGAAACTGCTATTATGATGATAAAATCGACCATACCCGACAATGTGCGCATTCTTTATTCTTGTATAGCGCCCTCATCCGTAGGGAACAAATATGACAGGTTCTATGGTTGCATGGAGCAACAGACTGGTGGATGACGGGGCTCGCGCAGATGAAGCACACTTCGGCCTCCACATCTTCTTGGTCGGCGCTCGGTTCGCTAGTCACATGTGGAATGCGAGTTTGAGGTAGAGATGCTGCTGGTTTGTCCGAGTCTCCATGTGGAAGCGGCGTCGTCGAAGAAGAGGTATGTGCCCCCGATATATTAGCCCCCCTTCCTCTTCCACGTTGCGATCTGCCTTGCCCTCCACCTCTAGAGTTTCCATCACCTCGTCCACGCCCTCTACCTCTGCCTCTCGAATTCCTCTCGCTTCTGCCGCGGCCTTGCCCAGCCTGTATCGAGTTGGAAGCTTCGTTCGACGCGTCTGTCGAGCCCTCAGCAGTAGCGGGCATGATGGATCGCAGATAGTTTATAGAGCGAAGAGGCACGACGGATATGTCGCAAGTGGTCAGGTCGTAAATTGAATTCGTGTATTCGAACGTATCTAAAATATTGGACTGATGTCCATATCCTTAGGAGATATGAGCACTCAAGGATATACCTGTATCTGATCGGATCTATCTGATCCCACCCAATTTGATTAATGAATTTTAGCGGGCGACCTTAGACGATGAGATGACAATGCTGGGCGTTTGTAGGTACCTGTACTTGGGTACCGGGCTCCCGTTTGTGTTTGTCACAGCCACAGGACCGCGGGGGGCGAAACCTCAGCCACAAATAGCGGGATGACAGTCAGGTCCTGCAGATAGTGGGGTTATCATATAAAGGTACCCTACCTCATATACGATATTAGGTACCAATTGAACTTCTTGAACATTTCTATCAAGAGATCTAACCTACCTAGGTAGGTACGTATGTAGGTACTTGAAAATACACAATGTATAATATATACAGGAGGTAAACATTGGATTAGGTATATTATATACCTACCTATGTATAGGTAGATATATAATAAGCTGGTGGAATTATGACTATCCTAAGCTCAGGTCACAGACACATAAATAAAACGCAAAGGTCAGCCACTAATCTGAGATGAAGCCTTAAAACCTAACTATCGAAGCCCATTCAGAGAGGTAGATAGCCCAGTGACTACGCCGCTTCGCCGATGCATCAATATAATCCCCCCCAACGCCGATGGTAAACCGACCGATTCCACCTACGGCCGCATTCAATGATTCAGCGGGAGTAAAGAAAACGATCATAAAGCATGCCACGTCCATATCATGAACATGTAGCCATCCACCATTAGCTAATTAGCTAATCACATAAGTCCAACCAGCTATATCTTCTAGGATTAACTCAAGAGAGTATCCGCAGCACAACTTGCTCACTCGCTAATTACTCCTCATCTACCGGGTAAAGGTGGTTACCAACCAGCTTGTTCATCTGGAACATGTCTACCCTAGCTTGCTTAAAAACAGCTTGCATCCTCTCGTCGCATCGTATCTGCCGCTTGTCATTTGGGTCTTGCAGTTGGTTGCCCTTTATATGTTCCCATAATTTCTTGACGACTTGCGGTCGGGATAGCTGTGCTTAAGGGTTAGAAGATGGATACCTGGTATAGGGACCCAGCCCTAGTTAAAAGCTTGATTCAAGGAACACTCACCTGCGATTCTCCACAGAGCTCGGCAAGAGGGTAACTAAGATTGAAGGGCTTCTGGAAACCCCCTCCAGCTTTTCGTGGCCGGCTACTTGATTCCTCACTTCCTGCCACATCGCTATCATCATCGGGTCCGACTTTCTTTTCGCTTTTCTTCCGAGGCGTGGCTTTCTTCTTCTTCGCCGGGGCCTTAGGCTTCCCACCTCCACGTGTTGCTCGAGTGCGCTGGTTCTCCTGTGCCTGGAGCATCGCTGCCAATTTGGCATCCGCGTCCTCCGTATCTTCACTCTTCTCTTTCCGCTGTTTCTTTCTCGGCGGTTGCACTGACACCTTTATCTCATCCCCGTTTGTGTCATCCGCATCTTGGCTATTTTCTTCGTAGCCATTGGCTTGTTCCAGAGGCGAAGGGCGGGGAGAAGTCAACTCGGGTTGAGGAATTGCGGAGGATGGTGGCGGAGCACCCGACGAGATAGCGTCAAAACGCTCCTCTATCAGCGCCTTAATAGCATTCTATGAGGATATGAAGTTAGTAAAAGGTAAAAGCTTGGCGGTGATACCTGTAGATAGGAGTAAAGAATCAAGCTGCAGTAATAAGACTCAAGAACTTGCTACGTACTTTCTGATCGCTCAGATCCTTCCCGCCCAGTGCAGCTTCGAGGCCCATGCGAATTTTCTTACGCGTGACAGTTTCAAGGTCCGCGGTAGCTAGGATACCATCGATGACTTCCGTATAACGGGTCTCCTCTTCCGCAGTCACTATCTCTATTAGTTCAATGCTAGCTTACTTAACCAGTGGTATCTAATAGAAATAGCATAAGATAGATACGAACTGGAGGGAGCAGTATGGATGCGAAACTTACAGGGCGCTGCCATGATGCTACACGCTAGTTCCGATTATCTTCCAAATACGATATAACCGGGGATTCTATGACACGCAACTGGCGAGGAATGTGTCGTGTTTAGTCAAATATATACCTTGACAAGAGAGAGGGTCGATGCAAGCGCGATAATATGTGTAGGGTCGCCTCCGAGGTCAGAACATAGCGAGGAGGAAAGGTAGGCAAGGTTAGGTAGTAGTAGATAGGCGGCGCTATATGGTAACTGGTACTGGGGCTGGGTTTAAACGAGTGGCGGCTGGTAAATTGGATGTCCAAGTTCTAAGAAAGAAGTATCAGCAGCCATTTGAGTTATAGGGATCAACCACATAGGTAGGTAGCAATGCATGTTTACATACACCTTACTTTACACTTTATAAATCGCAGCTAGCGACTGAAGACACGATGGCTGTTGTAGCTAGTAAGGGCACTATTAATGTTATACCTGGTTAATACGTCTAGGTATAGGAGTAGGCGTAGGCGGCTTAATAGGAGTAACTACCTAGTTATTACTATAGTTGGTAAGTTGGTGGCTGCGGAAGGGGTATGAAAATGATGGGAGCGACGTCTATTGCGATGATGCGCGCATGGACGTAGCTTCGAAGAAGCAAATAGCTTTGACTTTATCCTGAGACTTAGGGGCTGGATGGACAACTAACAGATTTAGAAATGAAAGTATAGCCGACCAGGATTAGTTAGGAAGATGTTATTAATTGTAGGCATGTAGTTGTAAATATCAATGGAAGTTGATTATATTGGAACCCTTTGTAGGTTATGTAGGAACAGCACAAAGACTTGTCGTTGATGGTCCGCCCGCGAGAAAAGGTCACTAGACCAATCATTGGACCAATGGCGCGCTATGACTTTGCTAGTTGCATATAAGGTTTCTAACCTTCTACGTTAGTTACATAACTTAGAGGTAAGCTGATTTATGTACATACAAGTATTTGAATTTGAAAATTCAACTTGAACATCCACTCTTAATATATTTCAGGAGATAAGCCAGACGTATTTTTACTATTTGAAAATGGTTCTTGTATCTTACGTTTTATTTTATTTAAACCATTGTTACTTTATTTACCAGCCTTTAAGACTGATGACATTAAACAAAGTTGTTGAAAGTACAGCACAGATATTTGACGGTCTTATCCCTTTCCCCCGCTTATCGCTTATCGGTAACAATGGTACCTGACCTTACCCAGCGGCAACGCTAGCTTCAGATGGGACGCGGGATGACGGAGAGTGTATTGTGCGGTTAAGTCCAGCCAATTGTACTGCCAGCCTTTGTGTAAGTTACCGCATTAGACATGGTCAGCCTTACATGTACCCAAAAGTGTGCAAGTACTATCGCTATCATTTTCATCTAATCGCACCTTATCTCCTAAACATTATTTTCAAGACTGTTTAAAATGAAGTATAGCAGTCATATGATTTTCATGAACTCATTTACTACTTGTGCAGGTTAATGTGGAGGTTTTGATTATATCTTACTTACTTTACAGGTATATATTCCATGCCAAAGTGTTATATACTATGTTTAACACTTGTTTTCGCAGTGACAATATGATAAGTTTATCGTGGTTATTCAATATTCCTGTAGTTAAGTATCTACTTAATATACTCATTCCTACAATTCATCAAAATCCCACAATATTGGTGTCAATACTTTTAATACTCTAAGTCTTTTACTAGACCACTTAATCACTTGAGAGGCGCATTGATGGTGCGTAATGTATCTACACCATCTTTTTCGAAGGAGACAAAGCTAGTGTGTCGTATCGTTTGACATGACAGATCCTCTTTAACCTTCTTACATAATCCCATGGCTTTACTTTCTGATAGCATTACTTAGGTTAGGTACTCTTCAACTTAGTTCGTCCTAGTGTTAAATAACCGGGCTTAATCGAGGGAATACCTAAAGCATATACATGTAGTCATACCTGATGTTAACTCAGCAGCTTTAATTGCAAGCAAAAGTATGATCTTACTCGGTCAACATATACCTACTATGTGCTACCTATCACGAGGTGGAACCAAACAGCATGGAAACAACCTCCTTGTTCCGCAAGGAACTCTAAACTAGCTACGAGGGTCTACGTTTAGGTAGTTATACATACTAAACATGTCCTTTTTTTCTAGAAGTCTCATCTAAAATCCTGGCACTACCTATTCAATACAAGCGAATGTTAACCTCGTACTTTAGCTTTGCTATTTGCCCGTTATATGTGGGAATAGTAAATGTATGATCGAAACCTATGTAATATTTAAATGAGATGAGAAACTCGTCTTAACACATCTATGGATATTTGGACACGGACGGAATATTTCCGCCTTAGTTCGCTTGTGAAAGTAAGAATGAACCATCTTGCTCTTCTATATTAATATGCATTCATATTTATGGTACGATATAAATGACCTTGCATGAAAGAAATAGTATTGATACTTGAAGCAATGGAACTGAGCCGCACCAATGCAGCTTGTATCTTCAGCTTTGATCTTAATATCATCCTTGTGTTAAGTTTAACATAAGCATGCTAAGTTTCATTTTCGAAACGAGAAATCCATTTATGGTAAGTAAGTACTGAAGTTAGATCTGTACCAATCGGCCACTTTCTCGCACATATCTTTTGAATGGCAACATGGGCACCCCATGCTAACCAGATAGCCGGGGCATACTACAATAATTATTGTCAAAGAATCGAGCTAGATTGTTCGCTCTTTTTTCATACGGAATAAAAACTTCTTAGCAGTAAAATAAGTCGCTTCATGCTACTGAGTGATCGTTAAGTCTACCACACTGTCAACTCTAATTTTTAACTAGTACCTAGGTTGTCAGTTAGGTTGTGTGGCTAGTCCGTTCCTTACTATAGTAGCTATTACCTTGGTAAATATGTAGATTGGCTGAGTCCGAATTGCTCAGGGGCAACACATGAGCTGAAATGCAGCCAAGACCAGCAGCGTACTTGGCGAACTACGCCTAGACCTTTTACCTCACGCCATCTTCATGTCATACCTTGTACAGAACAATCACTTTGCGGCGAAAACTATGTTGACGATAGAGTAGAGCTAGAAGGACGGGAAGGGCGGATATCGACTACGAGATGTAATATAGTGGTGTTGGCGATTTTTCGGTCGGCTTTGATGTATTTTGTCTATCTAATACCTAGGTGGGCAATGTTTCGCTCGATGGTGCATCTAAGTAAGCAGGGATGAGGGATCAAGATCAAAGGAACGATAGATATATTTTGTGCATAATCGCGACTGTCGTAGAGTTCCATCAGAGTCCGTCGCCATAGTATTTACCCATGTAAGGTACACATGTACATAGTAGGTAACGAGATCAAACTGACAAATCCCCTATACGCTATCCCTCCTACAACCGCTGTCTAACGGCGTACGTACATAGTTTCGCGTGGATCAAGAAGGATTATTGAGGTACTTCCGTTCTGTTACACGGTCTCTAGGCATACACCTTGTTCGGCAGAATCAAGGTTACCGAAGCTTGTATTTCCCACGTGGTAATAAGGATTAGAATAATAAAGAATCGGTAGCCCCTCCGAGATGTTCCACTCGTCATGAACTCCTTTTGCTAGCCTAGTACGGCTAGGATGGAATTGGCTATGTCGCTGGCCTGGGCTTCATGTATCCTATTCCCTAACCTAGTAAGCTATAGCATAATGAGTGCTCCATCGATGAAAGCGCTAACGAGAATTAGTACATATGAACCGTCTTGTTGCTTACACACTCGAAGAAAATTGTGAAATGAGTGGAGGAGGGGGGAAAAAAAGCTTGTCTGTTAAGCTGTAAAGTTCTTCATGGGAACCGATTTACTACGGCTTTGCAGCCTATTCTATTCTAATGTCATATCATATGAGAGTAGCTTATTATTACTAGCCTCTGTTTGGGGGAGAACCGAAACGCCCTAACGCATCGCAACCTCGGCGACAGATCCGTACTCGGCATCGGCTAGGAGTATATCCTTCGATCGCCTCCCATCGTGTTAAAGCTTAGTTCGCTCGGAAAATAAAACTTAGGCGAAGCATCATCATCCAAGCGCGTGGCTGCTTTCCAGCTGCACAACATCGTGCTAGCCTACGTACGAGGGTGGTAAATAGATGGGCATGGCTTATAACGAAGACTATGGTCCATTGGCACCAGCTAGCGATACTCTGTCGCCTCTACCTAGTGGCCATCGGAATGGACTCATCGCCGTAGCCGTCTGCGGCATGGTGTCATTTGTCACGACGTCCACATTGTTCTTATTCCTAACGTATAAGTTAGTTACATGGCATTTGGGGAACCCAAAGGGAATTGACGAGGATCACCAAACCCCAGCAAACGATCTGTCTCTGGGTTTAGCCCAAAGGAATTTTGGGTCATCCAAGAAGGCTATTCCACAAGGACACGATGAAGAACGGCGGCGACGACAAGCAGTGGGACGAGGGCCGCCAAACCAGTTTCTCGTCCTCGTATATAACTTGTTCTTCGCCGACATGCACCAGGCTACGGCATTCATGTTGAATATTCCGTGGATCCGGAAGAACGAGATTACCGTAGGAGTTCCGACTTGCTGGGCGCAGGGTTGGTTTGTGTCGACGGGAGATTTGTCTGCGAGCTGCTTCATATGCGCCATTGCTATTCATACTTATCTAACCGTCGTGAGAGGGTACAAACCGCCGCAGTGGGCCTTGTATCTTGCCATCGTCGGTTTATGGGTGTTTATTTATGTTATGGCTATTGTCGGTGTGGCCGCCACCAATGACGGGAAAGGGGCCGGTGGGTTTTATGTTCGCGCAGCAGCTTGGTAAGTGAGAGAATGGGTGATATCACTCACCAACACCCAGTCAATGTGCCTTATAGATATCAACATAGATGACTAACATCGGTCGAAGGTGTTGGATAAACGTTAGATTCGAGTCGCTTCGTCTATGGCTTCACTACATATGGATCTTCCTCTCGTTCATCATGACAAGTATCCTGTATTCGCTTATATTTTTCTCCCTTCACCAGAAAAGGGCGTTTTCTCAGCCCCTTTCGCATAGTCGTCCATCAGCTTCGACACGGTCGGATACGAATAATACATCAACCCAGACAAACCCTTCGGGCCACCATCCCGCCTTCCTTGTCTATCCGGTCATATATATATTATGTACGGCACCGTTAGCATTGGGCCGTGTGGTGAGCATGTCTGGAACGGAAGTAAGCATAGCTTATTTCTGCCTGGCAGGCACTATGATAGCCTCTAATGGATGGTTGGACGTCCTATTGTTTTCGACCACACGACATTCTATCATATTTAACGCGCCCCTCGACTCCGAAGACACGGGGTTGGAGACATTCGCGTTTATGAGGACACCACACTGGAGACAGTACGGAAATATGATTTGGGTGCAGGGTGGAGCTCACACTAGTAACGGCGAAGATGGCCGGCAAGGTAGGGGACGGAGGAGGGCAGTATGGGGACTGGGAAGGCTCGGAGAGTTGATCGGGTGGGACGGGAGAGACGGACGTTCTAAGAATAGCAGCAGCCGCTGGGTCGGAGGTCCAGGTAGCGGGAGCCAGGAATCCTTAAGGGGTATTACGAGAGCAGCAGAGGCGGGAATCCAGATGGATACCGTGACGACGGTCGTAGTAGAGGTTGAGCAAGAACATTCCAAGACGAGATCACGAGAACCTTCTGCTCACTCGATTGACAGTTCAGAAAAAGTACACGAGCAAAGGGCGGGAAGCTTGCGTCTATGAGATTAGAGCTTTCGGCCTTAGAGATATATATATAGAATATAATATAAGAAATAAAATCAACTCTAGTAACCTTGAATCCTTTTTTTATTTTTTTATTTTTTATTTTTTTATAGGTTTTATCAACGATCGGATGAAGTGTGTTGTGTCCTGGCGCTGTAGATGGGAAGTTCCCGTTGGTTAAGCCTCTACATATTAATGAAAATGAGAAGTGCCGCCTATGATATCCACGTGCTCGATTATTCAGCCAAATGAAATAAAACAGCAGCGGGCTGGTATACATCCTCATGCATGCATAGGTAATAATGCATTTACTGTACATTTCAAATACATATGTATCCACTACATACCTACCTCCTATCAATTGTAAGATCTCCGTAAGATGTGTCAGCCTCCAACCGAACCAACCATCTTATCTCAGGTGACCTCAGACTAGAAATTCGATAATTGCTTTGGGGGGAAGTACCTCCCCCAGCCACACCACTTTCCAACCCCCCAAAACATTTTCGAATCTCTAATCTGAGGCAACTTTGAACATTTTCCTTTCAAACGACATTAATAATATTTAAAAAGATTTGCTAAAAATTTTACTACTCGTTTTATTTACGTTTAATCTTGTTATAATTGCAATTAATTAACTTCAATTATTTCCGGTTATAATTTTTTTTATAATTATAAAATAAATCAAATTTTCACTATGGACATATCATCGTTACCGTCAAGTCTTCCTTCATCACCCCCTCAAATCGCCCAACGTACCCAACTACCTGACCTTCCGCAACACCGTCTTATATACGGGCAAAACGTAGCCCTCTCAGATCTTACGTCTGAATTATCCGACCTCTCTGATACTACACCTCCTGTTTCCCCCTCCTTTATAGGAAGAAACCAACAAGATAATCTTGACGATGAATTTGACGATAAATTTGACGATGAATCTGACGATGAATCTAACAACGAGCCTGACGATAACGTCGAAAATAACCCCGTACCAACTTGCTACGCAGGGATAGACAGGATTGCAGCCGACACGCATAAGTTCTGGCGGCGAAAACGGAGAAACGGCTATTCCTTTGAGCGTTTCATGGAAGGATGGCTTTTAGGAATGGCATCAAACAATAAGCGTACAAGCGGAAGGATGGCGCAGATGGCCAAAGTCCTAGAAAAGCCACTCGTTCGAGAACGCTTGAGCGCAGCTGGCATACAACTGCTATTCCAAAAGAAGGAGTATAATAAGGAGGACAATTTCAACGCGTCCGTCTTACGCAACGAGCTCTCTGCCTTAGCATCTCCGCCCGCTTTCGGGAAATTTAACCCAAACTCTTTCACAGCGCTAGGTGATACGCCTTGCGCTGTTAAAGATGTCTGTAATACGGACTGGATTGATAGCGCCCTAAGGTCCTCTTGGCCTCAAATATTAGCTAAGGCGCCTATACTTGCTGCGTTTTTAACCGCTATGCTTAATAATAAACGAGGCGGTCAGAAGTCGTACCTTGCAGCCAAATCCGACGCTGATTTCCCACACGAGGCTAGGGCATATATGATTGTTGTGTTGTTGCTAGGCGCTTACACGCCTAAGCAGAGCAACTTCTTACCTATGTCTATAGGGTTACATCTTCGTAGCTGTGGGGTACAACGACGGGTGATAGATACATTGGCTCGATTCGGAGTATGCCTCGGGTACCAAAGTATTGCTAAGCAGTTGAAAGATATGGCCGACCAACCAAGCACGAGTAGGTCCTAATGGCCTTAATTGTATCGTTTAATCGGATTAATGAAATATACTAATTTGAAACGCGTTGCCCACGACCCGAGTGCTGTATTCGTATACGATAATTTCAATTTCAAAGATAGAGTTCGGGAAACGCCTCCCTTTAGACCTACAGATACATGGAAACACACGGACCAAGGGATTTGTGGCGCCTGTGGCACCAACGAGGAGGCGGAGGCGGGCGAAGCCGGGCCGCTTCGCGAATTCCACTAGTCTTAGCCAACTAAGATACCTAACAACCATCCATTAAATTTACATGTTCTCCTCTTCTAAACCCCGGCAATCTCATCCTGGCTTAAAATAGCCCATGGAAACACACACTTATACACCTACTGTACATAATACATGACCTACATTTAGTGAGAAGCATTGCATAACATGTACATATACATAATCATCCATTTTATCCGTACCGTATTGAGCATATTATCCGTGGCGGTCCTCGACGAGATCCTATCGAATTACTGGTCTCCCTATCTCATGAAGAACAGCTGCGAAATGACAACTTAGTCTAACCGCTTATGCCCAGGGCTCGTCTCACCACGTCGCATCACGAAAAGAAAGAAGAAAAAAAATAATCCTTCAGACTGCAGACTCAACCAACATATGCATATTTACTATTGTTGATTTGGTTCTTACCTATCTTTTTCGCTCTCTCTTTCGCTCCCTCTTTCGTCCCTTATTCATGTGCCATTCATCAACGCTAGCGGAGTCGAACAAGGGAAGAAGACGAAATATTATTATCACACTCTTACTTTACATTAACTTGTAAATATCGGCGTCGACGTTATTATCAGATCCACTATCCACTATCCACTAGGTACGATTGAACTACGAAACCGTTGTTCATTGAACCGAGACATCCTCGACTTATCCTCTTCCGACCGGTCCATCGACCCAAGGTCTTTCGAATCTATCTCGTATCCAACATACCATCGAACTTCAATTCCCGTGCTTCGTACCTCTACATCTTCTTACTGCCTATTCGCCTTACTTCGAAGGCAGGTACTGATCGATTTCTATCCTACGCCTATTATTTCTATCCTTGATGTAATCCGGCCGACAATTATTCCGCTCGCATCCGTCTCTACTCTCCCTTCAGAATACCGCTATCGACAATTACACGTTGACGTCTTCAATATGTTGCGACGGCCTCCTGGCGAGGGACGGCTCGTCGTTCAACAGCGCAAGGTTCTGCTCGCCTTAGCCGTCTTCCTTCTACCTTGGCTCCAGCTTGTCGATGCTCAGCAGCAGCAACACCGACAACAATCCCCTCCGGAACCAGCTTCCGTTGCCAATCTCCTAAACGATTATAACAATGAAAATATAGCCGTGAATAAACATGACGTTCACGGCCGAGATATCCCTATTCCCCGACACGAGTCCTTCGGTGCTGAGCGAGTCGTAGGCAACCTCGCTGCCGCTACGCCCTCCAAAGCACGCAACCATCACGAGACCCCAGCTGTTAGCCGCAGGAACAGTGTCACTACCAATAAGCAGCGATTCCGAAACGTACCTTTTCCTAACGATGCGAGCGCCCTCGCAACTTTGGCTCCGGCTCCGTCCGTTCGAGCACCAAATTCTCCAAGATATCTGCCCAGCCTGCTCGCCGGTGCTGGGCTTTCCTCGCCGCAGACTGCGCGGAATCTGGAGAAGTGGGAAGTGGAAGACTACATTCTTCTGGCGACCGTCGATGGACATCTTTATGCTGTTAACCGCGAGTCCGGCGACGAGCGCTGGCATCTCCAAGTTGAACAGCCTATCGTCGAAACCATTCACCGTCGCCCAAATAGCTCCGTAGCTGATAGGCGAGATGGTTATGATCATCATCCATTGGATGACTACATTTGGGCTGTCGAGCCAACCCGTAATGGTGCCCTCTACGTCTGGACACCATCTGGCTTTGGCAACGGCCTGATGAGTACAGGCCTAACGATGAAGCAGCTAGTCGAAGAGTTCGGCTCCTACGCTGTTCAGAACCCACCCGTAGTCTATACTGGTCACAAGAAAACGACCATGATCACGCTAGACGCGGCGACCGGTCGCGTTCTTAAGTGGTTCGGACAAGGTGGTTCGCAGGTTGATCAAAGTGCTACTTGCTTCCCTCCGAACGGGCGTTTCGTTGACTCTGACAATGAAGAATGCAGTGATAGTGGCACCATCACTCTAAGTAGAACAGAGTATATCGTTACCATCCACCGATCGGATGACGGTAGGGAGATCGCCACACTTAAATATGCCGAATGGGGCCCAAACAATTTCGATAATGATCTCCATCAGCAGTATCGAGCGACGCAAGACAACCGCTACTTTACTAGCCAGCATGACGGCAAAGTCTATGCGCTCGCCTATCCTGCTGGAGCCACCTCCTTCGCACTTCAATTCTCTGTCCCCGTCGCACGTGTTTTCGACATCGCTAGACCAGAAGATGCTCCTCCCGGTAGCAACCCCGAGCTTGTCCTACTTCCTCAGCCCGTCCCGCCTGCTCGAGATGAAGACTCTGCCCGCGTCAGAAGTCATAGCGTATTTCTCAACCAGACTGAATCTGGTAGCTGGTATGCCATGTCTGGTTGGTCGTACCCTTTGATTGTCGATGCCCCCGCGGCACAGCTTAGCCATAGAAACCGATGGGACACCGAGAATCCTTGGGATACGCTCGATACTACATGGGCAAACAAGGTGTTGGTTGGTACTCATGTCCTAGGGAATGCAAGAACCGTGGCACAGTGGCCGCCAACTATTCCTCCGAGTTTGCCTTCCTCACCTTTCACGCCGGAATCTGATAATGATGATAATGAATCTGTCGTGCCGACCCCGCTGCCTGATACGGAAGCTGATCCTACAGGCATCGTTGGCAGCATCGTTGCTCTTCCGCAGTACGCCGCCGATAAGACAGTCGACTTCTTGATGAATCCGATCCTATTCCCCGTCATCGTCTATCTCTTGTTCCGCTATTACAAGGACTTGGTTAGATGGTCCAAGCGCCGCATTAAGCCAAAGCAGTATCTCGATACTGTGACATACGTACATTCGACAGATCCTGCAGTTGGTCCGCCACGGGAAGTAGCCGCTGAAGTCGTCCAAGTGTCGGTTGAGGAGCCAGATGAGAAGCAGCAGGAACTATTAGTAACTGCAAGGGAAAGCGCCGAAAAAGCTGTACCTGCTATCATATCCACGGTGGAGTTTGAGCCGGCAGATATAGACGACAACCGTGAACAGCAGACCGAGGGCG